TAGTTTTATTGGATAAATACAATTTTTACATTTTATCCCAAATTTCTCTCATCCCTAAATATCTTTTTTTTTTTTTTTTGGTAGAATTCAGGGTCTGAGGCTGTTTTGTGGTGATTTCTTTGAACTGGAAATGTTAACTTCTTTTCTTAGTTGATCATTTTGTTTTCTTTGAGGTTCTTGCGAGGAATGGACGTTTATGGCGAATTTGTTTTTCTTCGTTCATGTATATTAATGCCTCGTTATTGGAATGAGTGTTTTATTGTGATTGCTATAATGTAATCACTCAAAATGGCAAGAACTGACATGAACTGGAGAATCTGGATACTTAATTTGTTGCATGCGTTTTAGTTGATCATTTGATGCAGTGAATAAATCTGTAGTTTTATCAAGACTTAACGTTGAATGTTGTTTAAGAAGAATCGCTGAGTTATGAATTTTGTGCCTTGCACTTTATGCTTTAGAGCTTCATGTATGTATAAGTGATATATTCATTTCTATTGTAGATTCATCAATTGGTTTCCCTATTTTGATTCTGAACAATGTAAATTTAGAGAAATTAGATTTCATTTAATTTCAAATCGCTATTTAAGCTACACGTATTCATTAGTTGTGCAGGTTGCTGCATATGGTAGGAATATTTTGTTCCATATTCAATTCATGAACATCAAGCTCATCAGATCTTGAATCATCTTTAAATTTGTTTTGGCAGACCTTCAACAGATACAGGATGATGCAAAACAGCGTTGGCTCCGGCCTGTTGAAATTTGTGAAATACTTCAAAACTACCAGAAGCTTAACATAGCAGAAGCACCACCCAATCAGCCTAGAGGTTGTAATTGGTTTCCTTTTCAAGTATCATTTTTGCATTTATTATCATTGTTTCTAATGGTTATCGTTTTCAAGCACCCATATTTTCAACTTTTTATTGTAGTTATTAACTCTATAACTACATTTGCTTCATGTTCTTTATGTTTTCTTCCATATCTTTCAGTTAATATGAGAAAGAATTCCTTTGTGAAATTTGTGATGAAATTTCATTTTCCTCTTACCCCTTTTCTTTCCTCTTTCACTGTCAAGTGTTGTTTCCATAGTTTTCTCATGGTCTTTTTTTGTTAAAAAAATAAATTAGCTTGTTAGTTACGAGGAAAACATCAGTGATGTTGAAGATTCGAGACTCCAATAATTCTATTTATTGCCAATGATGTGATTTTTCTTGGATACAATGTATCACTTCCTACACTATTTGAGAGGAAACAAGTAATTTTAATTGCAATGATGCCTGGCAGTAGTTTTCCTTTAGTAGCTGATGTGTCTCTTGCAATTTTGGTTTATCTGCCACTCTGTGTGATAAGTGTGTGTGTGTGAGAGAGAGATCATGGTTAGCAATGATATCTTGAAGGGTTATAGAGCTCTGCTGCTAGAAACTTCAAGTAGAAGGTGATAGTTTAGATTGCCCATTTAGAGCTTGATTCACCATATACAATATAAACTTTATATTCACTGTTGCAATTAAAGAATTTTATTTTCAAGGCCCATTCTCCTTTTTGTGCATCAATGTTTGATCTCTTTTATAGTGGTAATTATGACTGGCAATTAAATGGATTTTGCTATTCAGGAGGTTCTTTATTCCTGTTCAATCGAAAAGCACTTCGGAACTTTCGTAAAGATGGTCACTGCTGGAGAAAGAAAAAGGATGGGAAAACTGTAAGAGAAGCTCACGAAAAGTTGAAGGTGTGCTGTTCAATTTATTATTAGTAAGTTCACTTTTTTTAGGCTACCTAATTCACAATCCAATCATTTTAGTCAAAGTTTGACTAGGGCATTCATTCTCCTGAGTGGCCTATCCAACCTATCACTGTGACTGTCTACCTGTTTGGTCATCTGTATATCAGTAATTGTTCTTTCATGGACACTGAAACATTCTTGTAAATGATTTATCACTCTGCAAGTGATACCATGTTGTGCATGGACATGCAGAGAGTAAGGCAACAGTTGTTGAGTTGCTGAGCAATTACTTTTGTTTTCTCCTTTTTTTTTTTTTTTTTTTTTTTTTTTTTTTTTTGGCACCGACTGCCTTTTGTTTTATCTTTTATGTTTGTGCTATTGGCTAATAGTTTAGTTGTTTTAACAAACACTTGATAAGCAGTAAAAAGGATGATTGATTTGTTGTCTATTCGTCATTCACTTTGTGCTCTTTTGCTGAGAAGTTAATCTTTATAGACTTCTCTTAACTTGTTGTTGAACTGTTTGTTTGCAAAGGTTCATTTATGCAGGCAAGTTAATTATGTCAACTTTTTGTTTTCTTCTTTTAACTAGTCTGAAATTGATTCTTGTAGCTTGATGGTGTGGATGTTCTCCAATGTTACTATGCCCACGGGGAGGAAAATGAAAATTTTCAGCGCCGAATTTATTGGTTGCTTGATCTGTGAGTGCTCTTGAATTTAACAGCTCAATTATTTGCTAAATATTCACAGCTCTGTTATCTGCTAAATTTTATTGATCTTGGAATTCGAAAATCCATTTGCATCTTTACTTCTATTTTCAGGCAGTTAGACAATATTGTTCTTGTGCATTACAGAGAAGTAAAAGAGGTATTTCTTTGTTATTGGTATTGATGTCTCACTTTTGTCTCATTTCTTCATTCCCTACCTTGTTGGGCTGTGTTGTTGAATTTTCTCGATTATGCTCAATTTTATCCTGAATTGGATTACTTGAATTTTTATTCATGCTTTGTAGGGTTACAGTTCTGTCATCCCCCATTTGCACACAGAACCCGGATCACAGATTGGAAGCACACAAACCACTTCGGCTTCTTCCTTTACACTTGAAAAATCACCTGCTCCTACTGTCCAAACATTAGCAACAAGCAGAACTGATTGGAATGTACAACCATTATCTTCCCAATTTGAGGATGACGATTCAGGAGACCACCAAACAGCCTCATCTCCTGCACAACCTACATGTAGTTCCATAATGCTTAATCCATCTTTACATGAGCTTAAAGATGCAAGTAAGTTGCACTGCAATATATCTGTAGTTTGTATGTTTCAGCCTGGTTCGGAATGTTGGATAATATATAACTAATATGTATCAACTGTAGAATGTCTTCAGTAATATTTCCTTTTTCTAAGACCTTGTTTCCATAAGAGGAACTTCTGAGTTTCAATGTCTCGGTCTTTCATATTGCAGGTTTGCAAGTTTTAAGTTGTTTGAACTGGCCATATTGATTGGCTAAAAAACAAAAACTAGTCATGTTATTATTGAGTTTCTGTTTTCTATGTCAATTTAACATGCAAACAATAATGTGAATAACAATACCACTAACATGCATCCCTATACTTAGGTCCTTAGTATTCCATGTTTTATTATTATTATTATTTCTGATATTATGTTTGGAATTTTTTAAAGATCAAAGCTTATGTTCTTCTTGATGGCCAAAAAAAAAAAGGCTTATGTTCTTCTTACATTTTCCAGATCTTCCAGAACTTTCAAAGAATTATCCTAGTTTATGGTTTACAGAGTCTAAATATCATGACACTGGATCTTCCCTCTGGCATAACTTGATTGCGAGCACCTTTGGAATTGATGACCCAAAAGTTTTCACTGGACAACCTGGTGTAGCTGACTTTATAACTCATAAGCTAACTGATATTAGATTGCCAACAACCTCAGATGTTGTAACTTGTGGCGACAAGTCAATTGCTGATTTAGATATCAAAATACAAGCAGTGACAGAATCTTCAGAGAAAGCAACTGAGGTACACGGTCAACAATATATTTCTACATGCTTACTTTTTAATGTGTTCTCCAGTCTGTCAAATATCTTGATGCAAATTGGATATCAACTTGAAACTGTCTATATGCTTTAGGGAGGAGCATTTAATTGATGTTATATGTGATTTAGTTCACTACTGCTCTTGTGCTTCTCTTTAAAGGCTCATTAGGAGGATTGACTTCTTTTATCATACTTGCATGATTTGGAGCCATTTATTTGATTGACTCTGGCATCATGTTGTCATCTTGCCCAAAATGGTAGTAGTAATATTTGACAGATGCCAACCAAATAATACCTGTTTTATGTCACAGGTGCCACCGGAGCATTGTTTTAAGTTGATTAATCCCCAGTTTTGGAATGATTCTGTTCCTCAGATGATGGTATCTGTTGGAAATCAATCCAAAGACAGTGTTACAAATAATAATCAATCAGGGGAACTGAATAAACTTGACAGTTTTGGAAGGTGGATGGATAAAGAAATTGGTGCAGATTGTGATGATTCCTTGATGGCATCTGACTCTGGAAAATACTGGAATACTCTTGACACTGGGACTGATGACAAGGAAGTATCCAGTTTATCCCACCACATGCAGTTGGATATGGATTCTCCAGGCCCTTATCTTTCTCAAGAACAACCATTTAGGATTCTCGATATTTCACCTAATTGGGCTTATTCAGGGGTTGAAACAAAGGTAATATAATTTAATGGTGCTATTTTCATGTCATTCTTTTTTTTTTTCTTTTTTTTCGAAGAATTTATTTTATTTTATTTCTTTATAGAAAATCATGTTGATCTGTAAAGGCTTTGTTTTTTAGGTTCTAATTGTTGGTGAATTTTTTGGAAACAAGGAGCTTTCATCTGCTACAAAGTGGGGTTGCATGTTTGGTGAAATTGTAGTATCTGCTGAGGTTTTGACTAACAATGTCATTAGATGTCAAACGCCTTCACATTCGCCTGGGAATGTTCCATTTTACGTCACTTGCAGTGACAGGTTAGCTTGCAGTGAAGTAAGAGAGTTTGTTTTTCATGAAAAGCCATCTGGAGTTTCATCATATGTTCCTGTCAAAAATACCCCAAAAGAGGAAGTGTGCCTTCAAATTCGTCTAGAAAAACTGTTCACTATAGGTCCAGAGAGAAAGTGGTTGCATTGTTCTGTGGAGGAATGTGATAAATGTAAGCTGAAAGATACCATTTGTTTAATGTCAATACCTGGTGCTGGAGAATCTAAAGACAGTTTAATTCAGAATATGCTGAAAGATAGACTTTCTGACTGGATACTATGCAAAGTTCATGAAGATAGCAAGGCTCTACATGTTCTAGATGACAAAGGTCAAGGAGTTATACACTTGGCAGCTGCACTTGGCTATGACTGGGCAATAGGGCCTATAGTTGCTGCTGGTGTCAATCCAAATTTCAGAGATATACGAGGAAGAACAGCACTACACTGGGCGTCATGTTATGGAAGGTCTGTTTTCTATTATAAAATTCTTGTCTTTTCATAGTAATTGTTTAGCAGCTCATGGCATACTGTTTAGAGGAAATATTCTTGACTTGATTTTTAGCAGAATATTGTTTCTTCATAATCTCCTGTGCTGTTTGCATGATTTTCGCTCTTCCATAAAAAGAATTGGCTGTTAAATGTTATGGCTTTAAAGTTTATACTGTTATCTTTTCAATTTTGTTTCACATTTTCGCACACCTTTTTCTCCAGGGAGGAAACAGTCATTACACTTATCAGATTAGGGGCAGCCCCTGGTGCTCTAGAGGATCCAACAACAGAATTTCCTGGTGGAAGAACTGCTGCTGATTTAGCATCACGTAGAGGGCACAAAGGGATTGCTGGGTACTTGGCTGAAGCAGCTTTAACTGCTCATCTCTCCTCATTGACTGTCCACCATAATGAGACAGACAATGTTGCAGCAGTCATTACAACCAAAGAGGCTGCAGCTCAAGTTGTGTTGTCTGATGGTGACAGGGTGATAGATGAGCAGTACTCCCCGATTGCTGCTGTCAGAAAATCAACACATGCAGCTGCTCTTATTCAAGATGCTATAAGACAATTAATTAGGTTCAGCAATGAATCCAATGATGCATCGGAAGTTTCAGTTGACAGAGGTCTTCTGGGTTCTTTGAACAAGGTACACAAGATTGGTAATTTGCATGCTGCTGCTGTAAAGATCCAGAAGAAGTACCGTGGCTGGAGGAGAAGAAAGGATTTTTTGAAGAAACGCAGCCATATTATAAAAATTCAGGTACTTGTTGCTCCGTATAGCTTCTGCTGCATTCTCTTTGTCTAGTGGTCTCCAAGATATGGTCAATGGTCCTATTAAATGATTGGCCTTTTACTTTCAGGCATTTGTAAGAGGACATCAAGTTCGTAAGCAATATAAAAAGGTTGTCTGGTCAGTTGGTATAGTAGAGAAGGCTATATTACGTTGGCGGCGTAAACGGACTGGGTTACGAGGTTTTCGAGCTAAATGTTCAATTGGACATACAGTAGCTGAGTCTGAGAGAACTGATGAATATGAATTTCTTAGAATTGGCTGTAAAGAGAAGATTGCTGGAGTTGAGAAAGCTCTTGCCAGAGTGAAGTCCATGGTTGATTACGCAGAAGGACGTGATCAGTATATGAGGCTAGTTAGAAAAAATGAGGAATTGAAGGTAGTCTAGTACTGAAAATTACTTGTGATTGTGGTGCCATGATTTATCATTGGTTATAATAGTTGAAATTTTCTGCTGCTAAGTAATTATTTGTGTTTGTATGCAAAGGTGGCTGACAAAGTAACCAGCTCACAACAGCAAGGTGAAAACTCATGAATGATCAGAGAAAGGTTCATGTGCAATATGGCGGCTGAATGTCATCAAGCTTTCTGTGGTAAGATGTTATATAGCTTTAAATCTTACCTTTTACTGGTATCCCACATGCTCGTATTTTGCCAATTGTCAATACTTAGGATAGAAAAAACAAGGGAAGGGAAATGTAAATTGGTGTCATTCTCACTTTTTCCATCCGCTATTAACAGTATAGTCAATTCACGTGTAAGTAGAAAAGCAGAAGAGGTAGCTCTCTATTAAAGAAGGATGAAATTGAAGAGAATCATGTATCAGCGTGAAACTGAGTTTGAAAATCGGCACTTGCCGAATTCAGAAAACTTGGATATCACTAACTATAGCAGCTCAAAGTTATGTATCCATGTAATGGACTACAATCTTATCTAATTAATTATGTATGTCATATAGTTACTGAATACACAAATTTCAAAATGCAGCACAAATTAAAAAATCCTGGACCAATGAAGCGGCCACCCTTCCTGGAAATTTTATTTACCGGGAGACAGGCCCAGGGCAAAAGGACTTTTTAATTCTTGTTGCTGGGAATGGAGACGGAGCTTTAGCACCGGTTAGCTCCCTAGCCCGCCCTTATTTAGAGAAAAATGCCAAAATGGAAATTGAAGGGGCTAAAAGAGAATTAAGAATTTGAAATTCAAAATGTGACTTAAACTAGTATAGAGAGTGGGCATCTCATATTAGTTGTTTTCTTAAACAATGGTTTTTGTCTTACAATCTGACACAAAACAAAAAACAGTGAAATTTGATTAAATATTAACGTGTAAACAAACAATTAAGAAACAAAAACTAGATCATCACTGAATACATTTACAGGCTTACGAGTCAAAAACCTTGTATTTACCATGGCTGCATGGAACTTGGATTCCAGATATGCAAGGAGAGAGTCACAAGCTGTACCCTCTCCCCACAACTCTTGGCATGTACGGTAAAAAGTAAAACGGGAAAACTGTAAACAGGGTGACGAAATGATTTCAGTTATCAGAAACTACCTCCCAAATGTGACTTTGCCTCACAGAACACGCTTACACACGAGATTTATTAGTGAGACTACAGCAGCTGGAAGAACACTAACGAGGAAAGAGCAGGATGATTTCCATCAAAAGAACAAGCTTTTAACTGAATTATACTTGGCGTGTTAATCCTTTGAAGTCTTCTGTTTCCTGTTACAGCCATCACAGTCACAAATTGAATGAAATCAAGTAGTTTCTTGACTTAAAAAGTTAGTAATGCAATAACTAATGCACCATTCTCAATGGAAATCTGCCTGGGGTGACCTTGTCCATAAGTTTTCTCATGCGGCTGACTACCATTAGTTTTCCAATACAGGGCCAGTTCATTGTTCATGTTAACTCGAGAAAGACGCCTTTCAGAGGTTGCCAAAGTCTTATGAAAATCAACGATAGACAAATTTAATGAATCACTCTCCTGTTAGATCAAGAAGAGTTTTTAACACATATCTTGGAACTGTTTAGTAAAACGGAACCAAATGATGTGATCTTATAAAAGAATTGAGTAGTAAAGTGGATGTTTCCTAATGTTGACTCATGCCTTGATGTCTACTGCCTGTTGAATTTGCCTTTGGTTTCTTTGAGTTCCAGCAACTGCTTTTACAACCTCATCCTGTTCTGCAATCTTCTTTATTAAATTGGTCTTGTCCATCTGTTGGAGGCAGGGAAGCATCACGAAATATAAGATTGCAAAATGTAATGAACATGAATACCTTTAACATTTCATTCTGTGCAGAGGGCAACTGGTCTCGCTGTTAAAGTTGCTCTAAACTCATCTGGATGCCAAGTATGTCTGCATCTTTCCTTTTTATTTCAGATATACAACTACAGTAACAAGATATTAATTTAATAACCAATTTGGTATGAGATAATTCTACCACAAAAATCTATAGAGTGAAGATATTCCAAGTCTAATAGACTATTTTCATGTTTTCTGTTCCTATTTTGTTTTTCATGTTTTCCATTTTAAACTTAAACAAAACGTTCTGTTATTCTAAAAAATTAAACATAATGAATTTAGTGAATTTGAATTTAAGATTTAAGGTTTACCGTTTTGGAATTTTAAACTTCGGATTTAGTATGGCATTTAAAGGTTAGAGTTCAGGGTTTTAGGTTTTCAAAGGGTTTATGATTTTAAGATTTCGTGTTTAGGGTTTGGGAGTTTTAGGTTTAGCAGATGTTAGGATTCAATATTCTTTAGATGTTAGAATTTTAGAGTTCAATGTTTAAAGTTAAAGATTTTAGGGATTTAGCATATGAGATTTAGGTTTTTTCCATTATATTCAAATTAAAAATACAAACCTCTCCACCAATGGAAAATTATCTCCCTACCCTATCCAGCATATCTTCAGACACCATGCATTCGGTCAATATTATGATCCTTCAAATAAAGGTCACTTTTGAGATGTAACTAGTTATGAACTTATGCTGGTTATCTTGAGTAGAGTTATAAGACAATGTGAATCTAGATTCCAACTCCAAGTCGTAGATTGTATGTTATAATCTCTCAAATTATATGAAACTGTTAAGAGTCCAT